GGAAAATACAAGACATTATGGTAGGATTTTAGTATCTAATTTTCCTTAATACCTAAATTTTGTAAGCATTAAAGTTTCCTATAATTCGACTTCTTAGAGATGAACAGCTCAGCAATCTTTAAAAAATATTAATTCAAAAAATTTCTCAGCATCTGCTAGGAGAGAATTTCGTGTAAAGTTTAAATAACTTAATAGGATTTGATTTTAGACTGTGGTAAGGGATTCTGATAGACTTTAAATGATGTATAGATATTTTCACTCTATTTAGAGCTAGTATCAACTGATGTGAATATCGTCCAGGATTCCCATGTATGAATAATTATTTAATTGCCAACAATGTTCTACAAATGGCTGAAACCTAAAATTAGCTCTGATTCCTCTTTGATGATGTTTCTTGTCTTGTGTATGGAGCTATCACACATCAGGATCAAAATATATAGTCAAGGAATAGACAAGCTGTAAAAGTGTCTTTATGAAATTAATTTTTTAAAATTTCTCAGCCTTTGTTATGTAATCTCTTGAGATATATTCATGCTTTGAAGGATAGCTAGTGGTTTGATAAATAACAGGGCTTTAAAATGAATGCTGAGGCATATGTAGAAGAAAGGATATTGTACAGAAAATGAATTCAAGAGAGACTGAAGAAATCTGAATAGAAGAGGAAATAGAAACAGCAAAGTAAAAGAATATGCAAGTTAAGGCCAAAAATGTATGTAAAGAATAGTTTTCCTTATTGCATAGATGTTTATTTTTCACCATTAGGCACTGTTAAGATAGGGATTAACTAAATAAATTCAGCAAGGAAATTAAAAGTTGCTCTGTATTACAGATTGAATATTTTAAGAGTAGTTTGACCAATAAGATACTCATGTAATACTGAATCGTATTAGGAGTGTCATGTACAAAAATGAAATATAAATAGTCTACTAAGGGTATTTTAGTGCCAACACAGGGATAAAGTAGAAAAATTACTGTATTTAGAAAAGCATTGAACTAAGGAGGACTTTTTGCTATTTGGGAGTTTATAGATCCCTTTGAGAATCTGATGAAAGCTTTATACAGTCTCTTCTCAGGAAATGTATACACAGAAAAATTTGTTCATAATTTAAGGTGGTTCATGGATCCCCCTTCATTCATAAATGATCTTTCATTCATGGACTTCTGAAACAACAGCTCCTGGTTTAGTGGGTTTAGAGCCAGTGGAGATAAATGGAAGTGTGTAGTACGGTGGTCCCCCTCATCCACGATCTCGCTTTCCATGGTTTCAGTTACCTGAGGTATATAGTATGAAGATATTTTGAGAAAGAGAGACCACATTCACATTAGAGTATGTTATAATTGTTCTATTTTATTATTAGTTATTGTTGTTAACCTCTTATTGTACCTAATTTGTAAATTAAACTTTATTGTAGATATGTATGTATAGGAAAAAAAAACCATAGTAACCATGGGGACCAGTACTATCCACAGTTTCAGGCATCCACTGGGG